CAAAGCTTTCCTTCTCTTGATATTCACAACCAGTACAGCCGCCTTCTTAAGACTGCTTTGAATGTCACTGTGGAGAGGTGTGACACAGCAGCTGGAGGCAGAAAAGGGATTTTCCTCTGGAATTACATAAATTAGTATTAAACCAGAGGATGTGTCAGCGGTGCTTATCAGAAAGGGTGGCTCTTCCTGGTAATGCCAGACTTGGGAGAGCTGTTCCGCCTGTATAATGTCGATTAGGAAATGTTCCACAGTGGCTTATCTGTTTTAGAGGCAGAACGTCCATCTCATGAGCGAGCTCCTCTGTACCTGGAAGGGTGCCCTTCCTCTGGAAACACAGGAGGGATTTGAGCTCCACAAAATGAGGATGGAAAAGCAGAAGAGCACAAGTATCTCATCCTGGATATAAACTTCCCTTGACTTGAGATAATGAAACAGCCAAAGGATAGGACGTTTTTAAGGATACAGCTATTAACCCTGGGGAGAAGGACCTGGGGGTGCTGGGTGAGGAGCAGCTCCCCATGACCCGGCTTCAGTGTGAGTTTGAGCCCAGAACCCCCCCGTGTGCTGGGCTGCACCCCCAGAGCGTGAGCAGCAGCTCAGGGAAGGGATCCTGCCCCTCTGCAGTCCTGATCCAGCTGGGGGGGGGGGTTGGAACTAGATGGTCTTTAAGGTTCTTTCCAACCCAACCCATTCTGTGATGCTATGAGAGGTTCAGGTCGCCGCTGGAACACTCAAACTCGCCCAGTCACAAGTTGTTTCTTCCATTTTGAAGCTGGGTAACAAGGGTCAGATCCATCCCTGCACTGGAATCTCTGCAGTTCCTTGTTCAGCTCTTCAGCCACAAACCAGCTTTGGAGCCAGGACTCCAGTCCCAGGCTTTCAAGAAGACACAAAAACCATTTAAGAGCAAAACCCAACAAACTGTTCCAACCAAAGATGTTTCCTGACCTTTTTTAAGGTCCCCAGCTCACCCACAGCAGTCTATCACAACCCCTTTCCCTTCTGATTTGGCTGCCCATAGCACCACCAGGCAGCCTTCTAGACTCACCCCGCTCCTCACCATGTCCCTGCGCAGTGGCACAGGAGCACGAAGCTCCTGAGACCGGTTGGAGCCCGAGCATCGCATTGGAGGTAACGGGAACTTCAACATCCGCCAATTCCCGCATTCCCGGAGGCAAGGGATTTGCTATGAGAGCCGGGTTGTGGTGGCGGCAGAGGGCAGCAAAGACCTGCCAGGGTCCGGCTGTGCCCAGCCAGCCGGGAGGCTCCGTGCGCAGCGAGCCGGAGGGGCCGGCTGGAGCCGGAGGTGCTTTTCCGCTTCCTCACAAGCCATGAACCTGCCCTTTGGAAATCCATGAGGTCCCGAACGCGCGGCTCCGCCGCGGGCTTGGCTCCGAGCAGCGCCGGTGCCTGGCTGAGGCACGGAAGCTGTAGCCAGCAGAGGCTGCAGAGATGGAGCCACGGGCTCTGCCTAAGACACAGCCACCCAGTTCCCTTTCCCCTGCCGAGGCAGACCCTATTGCAGTGGGATCTTCAAGCTGTTGATATTAATCTGTTGACATCATATTTTCCATTACTGCCTGAGTGCAAGGTCTGTGAAACCTTTTTCCTCTTTTCTCCTCCTAGATTATAGATAGAAAAAAATCGGGGGAGAGCAGGCTCCGAAGAATACAGCAGCAGATGGAGCACGCCCAAACTGGCACTGCAGAGGGGTAAAGGCAACATGTAAAGTTCACAGCAAAGATGCAACAGTTCCAGGGCTGGCAAACAGGGACAGAAAGTGCAGGGCATGGAGCATGAAGGGAAATAAGAGAGGCTGAGAGAGCTGGGCTGGTTCAGCCTGGACAAGAGAGGGCTCCTTAATGGGAGTACCTTAGAGCAGCTCCAGTGCCTAAAGGGGCTCCAGGAAAGCTGGAGAGGGGCTTTGGACAAGGGCCTGTAGGGCCAGGCCAAGGGGAATGGCTTTAACCTGCCAGAGGGTGATATACCTTGGGACAAAAACTGTCCAAGCAGCGAAACTGTTTTCCCCAGCAACAAGTTGTGTGACCTGCAGCTTCCAGAAGTGCCAGCCCAAACAAAAGCAAGCCAGGGCAGAGCGGAGCAGCCCGTGGCAGGGACCAGGGCCCACCACAACTGCACAAGGTGTATATTTTATTTAAATTAACAAAACTACACGTTTTGCAGGCTGCTTGAAGCGGTCTGTAAAAACTGAACTCGACCTAACCAAAAAAAAGGAATATCTTTTAATAAGAGCCAGGGACTATTTCTGAGACATACAAGTAGGGCTGAGGAATTAGGAAGTAAAAAACCCACCCAACACACACACATACACACCCCCCGTAAACAGATTGTTAGTGTCTGACACACGATTTGGTTTGAAAGCTGCAGCTCCCTCACTGTGAGGAGCCCTTACAAAACACAGTGCTACCCTAAGCTGTGAAACAAACCGTGGACACATCTATGGGAACAACATAAATATCACGTAAGAACCCAACATAAAAAAGGACGTTAAAGTTGCAAAGTCGAGCACAGGGTGATGTGTGTTGATTCAGTTCACTTTGTACCTCAACTACTGCAAGTAGGAACACTGCTTGTTCCTTGGTGGGGGTTGGAACGAGGTCTTAAAGGCCTTTCCAACCCAAACCATTCTATGATTCAATTCTTGGACCTCCCAGTGCTTACTTTCTGTGTGTAAATTGCTCACAGGTTACATTTTGCTATCGTGTTGAAGCTGTGGTTGCAGCACTTATTCCTTGTACAGTTGGTGTGCCCCCTTCTTTTATTTCTGTTAAACCACATTTCCTTTCAGTATAAGGGCACTGTCAGCCCACTTTAAAGAAAAACAGCCCAAGCTTATAAAAACTTATTAGTGTTCCAGTTCAAGTATCCCAAAATCACCCAAAGTTAACTTCCTGAAGTAGTTCTTAGCACTTTTTCTGTGCTACAGTGACTCCACATGCTCACAGCAGCACATGAGGGACCTCACCCAGAGTGATGGGTTCAATGTTCCTCAGCTCTGACCCCACATCCTGGCTGAGGTGCTGCTGAGTCCTCAGAGCAGCTCCAGTGCCTAAAAGGGCTACAAGAAACCTGGAGAGGGGCTTTGGACAAGGGCTTGTAGGGACAGGCCAAGGGGAATGGCTTTAAGCTGCCAGAGGGGAGACTGAGATGAGCTCTTAGGCAGAAGCTCTTCCCTGGGAGGGTGCTGAGGCGCTGATTGGGGTTGGGATTGGATGAGCTTTAAGGTCCCTTCCTACCCAGACCATTCCAGCACTCTATGAATTATGTGAATACCTCACCCCAGCTGAAGTGTTGACTCATCTCCAGAAAAATGGGAAGGGAAAGCAAAAGGCAGGGAAAGCTGGTGCTGTATTTGGTTACTAACATGCTTGACATGGTGGCAGGGATGGTCAGAGCTGAATGGAGCAGCAGCAGCCCCATGGAGACAGTGGGATGGGTGTGCAGGGCAGGCAGGGACCAGCATCACTGAGCATGAGCTGTGGGAACTGGGATGAACCAGCATCTCCCAGTGCAAAGCAGAGCCCTCCCTGCACAGCCTCAGCTCCTGCCCAGAGCTCTCACTCACAAACTCCAATGTGACAGCAGAGCCAGCACGCATGGGCTTTAACTGGACATTGTGATGCACACATTGAGATCCACTAGAGATGGATTAAGGTTTCATAAATCATCTCATTTCTTGTATTTCCCAATTATGTTTCCATTTTGCAGCCTTAATACTCTGACAATTGATGTGCAACTTCAGAAGTTTTAAGAATCCAAGAACAGTATGTCCCTTCTTCCAGGACTGGTACCTGCAATGACTGTGGCTTTGGAAGCCTCCCTTCTTTCCCTCATCTCTGACCCTTCACCAACAGACAGCAGCAGCAGATGCTTATCTTTTAGGGGCAAAACCAGGAAGGTGAGTTACACATTACTAGCAGTTACATGTTACTAGCAGTTAACACAGCTCTTTACTAGGATCAGTTATTGAGGCCATCCGGATCCTCCAGGCCCTGGAATGTGTGCCTGGAGTAGCACAGACCCTTCTGGCCACACACCATTAACGCTCCTCTTAGCTGGTCCTCAGCACGGCCCAGTTTAAGCCTCCAGCCCAGCTCAGTCCCCACTCCCCTGACCTACTGCAGTGTCACAGCCAGACCTGCCCAGCCACAGCACAGGGGTGAGCGACCTCATTGCCTGATTCTGCTCTGAAAAACCAAATATCCACATCAGTCCAATAATCCCTGGAAGAATCCAGCTCTGCCAAGCATGCTGCATGCCAGCAGTGCAAGGAGGGGCTCAGAGGCACAGGAGCTGAGGACACACTGGCCCTCCGTGGCCTTTGTCTTCTCTCCGTGGCATGGAAGCACATAAGAATGAGTAAGCCATAACAAAAAGAGGAAGACAATAAAAGCAAGGGAAACCAAAAGGGGCTGAGAACAGGCTGTGGGAGCAGTCCCTCTGGGAATTCAGGACAGGAGACCTCCCTTCTCCTGCAACTCAGCTCAAGCATCCAGTTTTTACACTGCCCTATATTTAATAAACAGCAGTAAAACCTACTGAGAAAGCATGCTGCTGCTTCTACTAGAATCGTATGTATTACACCCAGGCTACTCCTTCCCCCAGCTGTGCTTCACTCAAGTGACAGGGGTTTGCTGCAAGGCTGTACTAAAGACCTCAAACAAGGTTCAATACAATTATAGATGGTGGAACTGAATGTTCTTACAACGAAGCGTTAGTTCCCCCCAACCAACACCTTGTTGAAGTTGCACACAAGAAGATGCTCCAAGTACCAAATCCATGCTCCCTGCCTGAGCTCCCAGCACCACCTTTATGACAGGCACACAACAGCCAAACAACAACTGCCCAACATCAGCTCTGCTCCTTCCCCTACATCTGAACAGGCGACTTTGCAACCTTAATGCTTTTCTGTCTGGTTTTTACGTGCTGGAGTGTAACGCAATGGACATATCCCTCCCCCCAGAAATGACTACACCAGGTTAAAAAGAGTTTACAAATGCTCTGCTCGGTGTCACGCTCTGTGAAACACACGAGGCACGGGGTGCTCGAGGAGCAAGGCAGGTCGGAGAGGGCTCCTGCCACAGGCCTTGTGCTGTCCTCTGCTCTCCACCCCAGTCTGGGTCCCGATGAGGCCACCTCAGCATCACTCCTGAGCCTCCTTCCGAGCCAGCTTGTAAACCTCCGTGGGCCCGTCCACGTGGGTGATGGTGGTGGTGAGCTGGAGCTCTTCCCCGCTGTTCACGCCCAGGTCACCTGAGAAACAAAGTGACTTCATTATAGTCCATCTCACAATGAAATACTTGGGAATTAGAAAGCAAAAGATCCATTTTATTCCCACCAGGCTTTCAGGAGCTACTTGAGTTAAGGACTGCAATGCTTCTATAAATGCCTTCCTGTTAGAAAGAAGCCATTCCCCCAGGACAAGGCCAAGAGGAATGGCTTTAACCTACCAGAGGGGAGACTGAGATGAGCTCTTAGGCAGAAGCTCTTCCCTGTGAGGGTGCTGAGGCGCTGGCACAGGGTGCCCAGAGAAGCTGTGGCTGCCCCATCGTTGGACACAGGGGCTTGGAGCAAGCTGCTCTAGTGGAAGGTGTCCCTGCCTGTGGCAGGGGTTGGAGCTGTGTGGACTTTAAGCTTCCTTCCAACCCAAACCAGACTGGGATTCTATGATTAACTAAAATGCCTGCTAGGAAAACCAAACTATCATTTGCATCGCATTTTAAAATGCTGAATGTGCACTTTGGCCAACATGTAGAATACTCAAAGGTATCACCCACATTATATCACTTTGTTGCCATGACAGCCTTCAGATCTTAAAGGCATTTACCATTGGACTGGTCTTCACCGTAGTTCTTGTGCGATGGTGCGTACAGGAACATGAGGGCAAACACGTAGAGGTTCCACATCCCATAGATGCCGGTGAAGAAGGCACTGTTCACTTGTATCGTGATGTCCCCCCACTTCCAGTGGCCTTCGGTCACCTGCCAGGGAGAAAGCAGACATGGGCTGGTCAGTAAGGCCAAAGTCTGAACGGAGACAGAAGTGATCCCCTAAAGCATCAGCTTCACCCCAAGGTTTGCCACCTGAAGGGTGGTACCTAGGAGACAACCTCCTTACACCTGAAAACATTACACTTCCATAAATAGGGCTTTTATAGAAGGAAAACCAGGCTGAATAATGCAAAGAGCTCACGTGCTGAATGCTGCCTTGCTGCTTCTGGCTCACAGAGAGGCCTGGGCTGACAGCACCAGCCTCAGACATGCGGAGGTTTGTCAAGGTTTAAGGAAGTGTCATCACTATTAATGTTACTTGAAGATGTACAAACTGTTCACACTGAAATGCTGGCTTTCTGGTAAAAAAAAACAGACATAAGGGGGAAAGACAAAAGCTAAATGAGCTTAAACTAGGTTAGCTTAGTGACAGGCCAAGGGGAATGGCTTTAACGTGCCAGAGGCGAGACTGAGATGAGCTCTTAGGCAGAAGCTCTTCCCTGGGAGGGCGGTGAGGTGCTGGTCCTGTCCCCACAGGCCCTTGTCAAAAGCCTCTCTCCAAAATGACATTTTTGAAACAGATGCAATCTGAAAAGTCACTTAGAATAAACCTTCAGATTCACTTCAGTAGTGATACAAACCATTTGTACGGAGATGGCCTTGGGGCTCGGAATAAACAGGTCCAGATACTGCTGAGAACAGCAGGGCTGCAGAGTGCCCCCGGGGAAGACTGAACTCTGATATTTCTCTGTGGCCATACAAAGCCACCAGGTCCTTTCAATGTGAACAGAACATTTTTCACTCTTGCTGAGTTCTCAGAAATGACATAAACCCTGTTGGCTGATATTTCAAACAGCACAGCCCAACCCAACCCTTCCCGTGAGCCAGGGGCCTTTGTGAAGGCTTCAGGCTGAGCCATTTTATGGCAGTGCTTCAAGTAAGTGAAAACAGCTTCTTAAACAGCAAGTTGTTATCAAACCTGCTGGTAACAGGCAGATCTTCTCTGATCAGCAAGTGAGTTGTTAGTGGCTGTGGAACTGGGGGCTGAGGTACTTAGAGGAAGCAGTTTTATCACTCACCTGGCTCACGATGAAGAAGATGACTGTCATTGCTGCGCACGCCAGGGTGATGAGCATCAGGAACTTGAACCTAAAAATCAGCCCCTGTGTGGAGAGAAATGTCACTGGTCACATTAACAGACTCCACAACACCCAGTTTGGGTTTCAGCACATACAAGAGACAAGCATTAAAATACAGGCAAAGAAAAAAAAGGGTCCAACCCACGAAACCCCAAAGCAAAACAACCTCCACCCACTCCTCTGCGCCGGGGTCATATTCTCCGCTCCCCACACGTCTGCATTCCTGCCGGATGCTCCCGGGCGTGCGTGTCTGGACAGCTCTGCCTTTCCATTACATTTGCCTTTGTGACTGATTTACCAGGAGCTCACGTGGATGGGGAGGCACGTCAGCCCACGCCATGGGTTTTCCCTAGGAGGTAGCTCGCAGCTTTGGTAGGACAGACATCTGTGGAGAGCCTGCCTGGCTCAGCAGGACGGGTCAGTGTTTCACCTCCACATCTGCCTGGGAGGGAAGTGCAGCAATTCCCAACACCCTTCAAAACTACACTGGCTATTAGAGAGGAACATGGACTGCAGGATAAACTAAGACTCAAGATCACTCGCTTGGGAATGTGACTGCAGATTGCTCTTGCTCCCACTAGCTTTACATTTTTATTCACAAGCTCTTTTTGCTTTGTCTTTGCACGTGAGTTGTTTTTCTTAACCTGTTTCTGGAATTCTGCTGGAAATGTCAGTGTCTGCGTAATTACTGAGCCACTGCAACACTGCAACAACAAATGGCTATTAATTTAACTCTTCCAGGTCAGATTCACACTGTCTGTACACAGAGCGCAGCCCCAGCAGCTCCACAATATGAGCTGAAGTCCTGTGCTAAAGGGAAAGATGCTTAATTTCTGCTTGAAATTCTCTCAATTCCAATTTCCTATTTTTTATGTGCATTCCTGATGGGTGATGGCAGACTTGTTTATATCAGAAGTGACCATTAGTTGTTAAGAGAACAACGTTGGTGTGTTGATATTTATCACCCACGGAAACAACAAGCACTCTCAGCTTAAGCATTACAGTGTGCTCCTTGTGTTTTGCAGCAGTTAAAGACAGCTAGGACAGAAACAGGGATAGTAAGATGAATGTGTCACAGTTTGATCCTGTCAGCACAGTTTCCCTCCTACGATTTGGCTGGGAAAAGACAACCCCAAAAATACTAATTGACATCCTAGAAAACAGGGTGGTCTTAGCAATACTTTCCATTAAATACAGTCCTTAATATTACGAGAAATGAAGTGTGAGGGCCTGATGTGCTTACAACCTATAGTGATTTCAATGGTAATTTGGGCAATTTACTTCTGTTCTCCAGCACTGTTCAATATGCTGGGAGGTGGCAAGTACTGACAGAAAAGGAGAGGGAGCTTACATACCCTCCTAACAGGTTAAAGTATTCCACTGGGAATAAAGACCCAAATAAAGAAGAAACTTCCCACCAGTCAAACCAAAAGGCATTTAGGGGATTTGAGCAGAAGAAAGCTGGTGAAGATTAGATCTCCCAGTTCAGGGCTGCATGGATAGGGAATGTCTCAGTATAGACTTTAAGGTCAAAAATGCATTTATAAAGTAAAGAATCTGTGCAGTGAGGAGGGCTGTTACCTCGTAATGAAGGCGGCGAGCCTTGCTCATGGCTGGGAGGCTTGACTGCTTCCCACTGATGTTCCTGAACACTTGGAAGACCATAAAACACAGGAAGAGGAAATAGAGACACAGGCAGATTCCCGCAACTATAATAAAGGCCATCTGGGCAGTGTGAGTCAAGGGAACATGGTATGAGCTGAACAGGGAGAACAGAAACATTATTCAAGTGATTCCCTTCTTTTAGTGTCATCCCAAAGGTCAGAATTGCACTTTTACTTGATGAGCTTGGTGGGGAACAGGGGCTCTGTGACCCCACACACACCAAACACTGCCTGGGTGACATTGCCAAGGAAATCTGGGGAGCTGTTGCCAGCCAACAAGCTCCAGTGAGGCTCCTGCAAGAGGGATGGGTGTTGTGGAAGGGGAACTGATCCCATTATCTTATCTCAGCCCAGGGATTAAAATTAATGGCAGCATAACAAGCCCTTTCAGTAGGATCTGGAAGAGCACTGCATGGAAATGCCTCAGCAACGCCTGCCTGAGTAATAGCAGCAAATGGAGGTCCCCAAAGCAGATGCTGTTGAGGCTGGAGGGTAAAGTATCACGAGTGCTGGTGTTATTGTGATGACCCCCAGGACCTGAATTCCCCATGTTTCCCTGCAAATCTCAGACATCTTGGAGAGGTTCAGTTCTGCAGTGACTCCCCCAAGCACAGCACCAGTCCCTGGGGGTACCAGCTCCAAACCTGCCAGGGCTGCTTCTTCCAAATGACACCAGCATCTCCAGCCCCCCCCTCACAGCTCTGGAATGCCAGAAGGAGGAGGGTTTCCCCACACTCTCTCTCTCCCATCAACACAGACGGAGCGTGCCATGAGTCGGGGTGAAGGATACAGCCAGCTCCGTGCCAACTTCAGTGGTCCAGATGCTGTAGAAGGGGTTCTTCAGCTGCACTCCCCTGCAAAGAGGAGAGACATCACTGAGGCTGTCACAGAAGCCAACAAGCTTAACCTGCTGGTCCCTGCTGCAGGAGGTGGCCAGAAGTCTCAGCTCACAGTGTGCACCTACCTCTCACACATGTCAAAGATGAAGAGGCAGAAGGAGCCAACAGCTATGGGTCCAACCTGCTTCCAGTACCCCGAGAGACGATTCCTCTCGTTCTGGTCCTGATCAGAGGGTCAAGAAGTGGAGAGGAGGAAGAGAAAAAGGAGAAGCAAGTCAGGCTGAAGTCCTCTTGCCTGGTGCAAGCCCCACAGTGTTGTTTGCAATGATTAACAAGCACAAGGGAGTTGCAGGGTATCGCTGCAACTGGGGCTGGAAGCCACCTTCCCTTCTGTGTGGTACCCACCATCATGTGCTCCCCACAGAAGATGATCCAGAAAGACAGGAGCATGGCATAGAAAATGCCTTGTCGAATGTCTCCGAAGAGCAGCATCCAAGTCCAGTCAAATCCGATGGAAAACCACTCCACGGGGATGTTAATGAATGTCATGGAAATTCCTAGAGCAAAGATGACCCTGGAAGGGCAGAAACACAATCTCTTTCCAGCTTGCTTGTTCCTCAACTTGAGAACAGAGCCCCAGCAGCCAAAGCTGTGCATGAGGAGCAACACAAGAACACCCAGCACTGCGGGGCAGTGTCACCTCCTGCCAGCAAGCCCTGGGGGGCTGAGCCCCTGTGAGCAGCTGTGGACAAACGCAGCTCCTCATTCCCTGTGGGTTTAATGGGCAAGAAGTTAAGCTATCGAGGTCTCCTGCTCCCAGTGAGCCTGGGTGGAGGGAGGGGACAGGGAAGAGACCATTCCTGTCTCTCCACACATAGATTGTGGGAGCAACAACCACCCTGGTCAGCGTGCTCTCACTTGAGGGTCACCATATCCAACACACAAGCCCCTACTCACTTCTCCAGCAGCACAGGAGCACGTGTCATCAGTGTGATCCGTCTCCAGTACCAGACCATGATGATTAAAATGCTGGGTGTGAGGAAGGTCTTCATGGCAAACCACACTTTTGTAAAGCCTCCGTTCTGATGGATGCCCTAAGGAAAAAAAACAGGGTGGAATGCAACAGCTGTAAAGGGTTTAGCATCATTACTCCATGCTTCTCCTTAGGGGATCTGGCAGGAGAGGCATGTAGGCAGTAGTACATGTAAGCACATGTAGATCACAGAATCTCAGCCTGGTTTGTGTTGTAAGGGACCTTAAAGCTCCTCCAGCTCCAACCCCTGCCATGGGCAGGGACACTTTCCCCTAGAGCAGCTTGCTCCAAGCCCCTGTGTCCAACCTGGCCTTGAACACTGCCAGGGATGGGGCAGCCACAGCTTCTCTGGGCACCCTGTGCCAGCGCCTCAGCACCCTCACAGGGAGGAGCTTCTGCCTAAGAGCTCATCTCAGTCTCCCCTCGGGCAGGTTAAACCCCTTTGTCCTGTCACTCCCGTCCCTGATGAAGAGTCCCTCTCCAGCATCCTTGCAGCCCCCTTCAGATACTGGAAGGCTCTTCTGAGGTCTCCATGCAGCCTCTCTTCCCCAGGCTGAACAGCCCTGACTTTCTCAGCCTGTCAAGATGCAGCTACTCTTTGAAGGACATGGTTTATCCAACACAGGAAACGGAGCAGGTTCCTATTTAGCACCCAAGGTGCCTGAGCAGGCTTCAGAAGTCCTGAAAACTAATACCAAGACACAGCTTCCACCTCGAGGTGCAGAGCACTCAGGAGAGGGACACTGACACAGCACGGAGAGAGCTGGCAGAACTGCTCTCAGACAAGTAACAAGATACTCATGAAGCCAAGTCACCACCGGTGGGAAGAGCATCAGCCAAATGAATGCGTCTCTCCGGACACACATCCCTCCCACCTCTGTCTGCAGTCACCACAGCTCACTGCTCCTGCTGAGAGGGATGGTGGTGGGAGGAAAAGCACCAGCCATAAGGGAGGGCAGGAGCAGGGATAGCTGACAGCCAACCCAAACATCTGCATGGTCATAGCCAACGCCAAGAGAGACCAGGTCCCCTCTGAACCCTGCTGGCCTGTTCCTCCTGAGCTCCAATCCGTAAGAGGCAGGGCTTAATCAGATGGAGGACTCATCACTCAAGCCAGACTGTGCTGGCAAGCAGAGGACACAGGGGAGCTCCCGGAGCCATGGAGGCGATCCCAGGGCAGTGCAGGAGGGTGGTCCTGCTCCAGGCTTGGGAGGGCTCCTCAGAAGAAAGCAGTCAATGAGGGCATCCCTTGGGAAGGAGGGAGGCCACATCTGCAGGCAGGAGCTGCCCATGATGAAGAGCAGGACCTTGCTGTGGATCAGAGGAGCCCCCAGGCAGACAGCACGGGCAGAGGCAGGTCAGGCACTTACCACGAGGCGGATGTCCTTGATCTCCCCGATGCCCACGTTAATGCCCTTCCTCTCGTTCACGGGCAGGCGGATGTTGAGCAGGTAGTACTTGTGAGCCACGCTGCCGATCTCCATGAAGGGCAGGAAGTCACAGTCATAGTGACGGCCCTCCGACTCCAGGGTCTAGAGAAAGGGCACAGAATGCTGTGGTCAGCCTTGGATGGGCTCCCTCCATGGGGAGGGTCTGCAAAACCCTAACACTGGGACCACTGCTAGCACTGAGAGCCTGTTGGCCAGTTCCAGCCTTCCTGGGGAGAGCCTGTGACAGACAGTGCCTTGGGGACATTCTTCAAAGGTTTTGCTGGTTTGGGTCAGAGTCAACAGCAGGTTCACCTTTCGGGCTCTTGAATACTCCCCAGAGTCAAAGGAGCCTCTCAAGATGAAAGACTACGTTAGGATCCAAGCCTCCTCCCTCAGCAAGCACCACTTAAGCCCAAACAAAAGATGCAGCTCCCTCACACGTATCTTGATGTGCAGTTTAAGTCCTGTTCTACTAGCAATGCTCCTCTCTGTACCTCAGATGTGTTCACTGCATAGATGTGGCTGTATGGGAGGGCACAGGTGTCACTGGAGATGTAAGTGGTTGCTGAAAGGGACTGTGAAATGGGAGAAGGCACAGAGCTGAAAACCATGGCCTGGGGAAGAGACGCCAGATTAATTTAAGCACCGGAATTACAGTCTGCAGCACAGGAAGAAACATCTGGATTTAAACAAGATGCTGTTCTCATCCGGCTGTGCTTGCTGCCCCTCAGCCTTGGAGCTTGGGGCACTGAGAAGTTCTAACAAACATCTCCGGGTTCTTGGAACGCTGCTGTGTCCCTGGGGGCTACATCCCCACCACTCCTGTAATAAGGTTGTGTTCATCACAAGCACAAGATGGAAAGGTTCAAGGTCTCTAAGCCAGTTTGCGGTACACAGAGCTCAAAGCATTTTTGTTCCAGACAACACCTCTGCAACACCTCACACCTCTTCTCCCTTACAGTTGTAAGTCTACCCCAACTTCACCCCCTTCTCTTGTATCACCAAACAGGACCAGTTGCACATGGAGCTCGTCAGGTTTTCACAGGTTTTGAGCTGACACATTTTGAAGTTATGATTGAACAATTCCATGCTTCTAGGAAGCACCAAGGAGGAAAGGAAATCAATTCCCAACACAATCCACACACCCCCCCACTCCAGCATCATCAAAACCCCTTACTTTTGGTGAGCCAAAGGTGCATTTCAGCTTCCTGATCTCTATTGCATGTGCTATTTCCTTCCAGTCATCAAACATGTCATCACGATACGCCAGCGACACATCCAGGGTGATCTCTGCATTCTCTTCTGCAAGAGTAAGGAGACATCAGGCTTGTGAGAGAGGAATGGTACAGAGGATCAGATGGGTACCAGAGCCTGTAGACACACAGGGGATCTTACAGAGACCCACAGCTATGGAGGGGAGTGGAAGATTTTGCATTCCAAACAACAGATGAAATCACCCTTTTCAAAATGTTTCTCTCATTTCCAGCAGAGAAGGAGGAATCTTTACTGGTCATAAAGGTCTGACATCCTCCTAATGTACCATGACTTACAGCTTATGTTACGGCTGTGGGTGAAGAGCATTATTTATTCATATAGCATTAGAAATAATAGTTCATGTAGAACTGGAGCCCAGACAGCTGCAGAGACAGAGTAAGCCAAAACCAATCCAACAGCCTCTTCACCAGGGGCTGGCTGAGGGATAATAAGACAGGCTTCTATATAGACCTTCTGCAGGTAACACAAGGTGTGCAGTAGGTCCTTCTGCTTCAGGAAGCGACTATATCACATCATAGGGTTTGCTTTAAATCAACACTGAAATAGTGTTTATAGAAAACCACAAAAAGATGAAGTACATAACTCTGGCTGGCTAGATGAGCTCTAGAAAGGGGAAAGCATGCAACTATCATAGAATGGTTGGGGCTGAAGGGACCTTAAAGCTCCTCCAGCTCCAACCCCTGCCACGGGCAGGGACCCCTTCCACTGGAGCAGCTTGCTCCAAGCCCCTGTGTCCAACCTGGCCTTGAGCACTGCCAGGGATGGGCACCACTTCCAGGGATGGAGCACTTCTGTTGTCATGCCTAAATGAACAAAGCCATCTATTAATGTAACCTTGTGTTTCTTCTGGCTGCAAGCACATCATCCATAAACACTGGAGCCCAACCTCTTGAGGTCTAGAACACGCCCCTTAACAACAAGATGCATTCTACCAAAGAGATGTTAAATGAAGGAAACAAAAAGGGTCACTGGGATTTTTGGGTGGATGGAAGGAAGGAAGCAGGGAAAGGCACTGCTGGGCAGGGTCATAACTCATCACCAGAGGTATAAATTGCTTCAGAATTGCCCAGAACTTGGATCCTCTGCTCTTCAGAGATAAGCCAGGGTTCCCAGAGTAAGAGCACACGACTCAAACCTCCTTTAAGAAGAAATTTAACCCCCCCTCAACTTTAGCCGTGCTGGCCCTGCTGGAAAACCCCTCAAGAACAGCCACACATGCTGGAGGTGACCGTTTCTGCATGTGGTGTTCAGCTCAAGCCATTCTCCATCAGACTTCTGAAACCCTCCCCTCCACATCCACACCAGCACCGATCTGCTCCTGCCTTTACGGATGCACCAACGGGCACATGAGTAAACACACACTGAGCTCATGGGGAAGGTCACCACGTCAAGTTCGCATGGGACCAGGCAGCTCAGCCTCTCCTGGACGTGTCACAGTGAGCACAACTGCTTTTAGATACGCTCTTGCTAGGAGGCTGCCAAGAGGCTGCTGCTGCAAGAAGGAAATGAGGCTGGAACAGGCTTATTTAGGTGCCATAACTGAGCAAGTTCATGAATTACAGTTGAAGGCTGCCAAGGAGCAACACATAAACATGCTTTAAAAACCCAAGGCAAGTCTGTACCAGCTCAAACAGATGTAAAACCCTCCTATTTACCAGGCACAGATCCCAGGGAAGGCTCTGAAAGAGAAACAAGTTCTGAAACGAGCATACGCATGCTGCAACCTAGCCTCTTTTCATAGACCAGCACACTCTGAAAGCCACAGCTGTCGGGAAAGCTATGGAAGAGCACGGCAAGATGGCTATGGAACCATCATCCATGGAGAAGCGTTGGAAAACGGCAACGGAACCACTTGTGCCCCTGATCCAGCACTGCTCTCACTGCAGACTGCTCACCCTTGCAAACTCATGGCACACTTTGAGCTCAGGAGGTCAGAAATGCCTCCGTGGATCTAATCTGAGCCACACACACATTCCACCAGGGCTGTGGCACTGCACAGCCGGACACCAACATGCGCCATCCCATAAGGATGTGAAAGGCTTACACAATATCGACACCCATAGCTCTGCACCAGGGGCCCTCTGCATGGGAACAGGGCTGGCTGCTCTCCTGGCAGCACATGGGAAGGGCTGCAAAGACACATCAAGCCTTGATGAGCTTTGAAGTTCAGCTCTGAAAGCAATCTGGTCTTCATAAGTCTGAAGGGAGGCTGTGTCATGTCTAGGAGCAAGCAGGAGTCTTTCAAGCCTGGGGGTCCCACATATTTGTCATCTTCTTCAGCTACGTTTTTGCTGGGACAATGTGGCATACTCACCCCAACCGATGCGAAGGGGTGTGGGTGGTATCTGGGGTCCAGACTTGCTATTTATAGTGTTTGAAGGTGGCTCCATTACGTATCTGATGTGGATGCATCAAGGTTTTTCTGAGCATTTAGTTTCTTTCCACACATGATCAATAGCATCCAGACTGGTGTCAGGTTCCTTTCCACAGCAGCCATTATTCAGGTTGCCATGAAACATGAATTTGCTCAGATCTACTATTTAGAAGACCAGCAAAACAGATAAATGGGAACATAGAGTTAAACTTGGCCCAGCTACAAAGAACTACAAACTTCATTTCAGAAGCCATAAAACCAAGTGGAATGCTTGGGATTGAATCCAACAAAAACAGCTTTTGTTATTTCTTCTTTGCAATCCAAATGTTGCTGTTGCCATCGAGTATGAAAAGCAGAAGGCAGAAGATGTGCTGGTGTGGCCTTTACAGGCGGGTGGAATAGAACCTCCCTCTACATTTCCATCAGTCTCTGTGTCTGGGTAATGTCCCCCCATAGAAAGAGGAATGTGCAAAGACCCTTTGGGACTGTCACTGTAAAATACATATAAATATGTGTGTATATATATATATATACACATATAAATATATACACAGGGAGAAGGGAGAGAAGCAGCAGGTGATGTTCCACCATGCTTGGTTTCAAGACACAAGAAAGGTGTTTGAAACCAGTGTTGTTTACTACCAAAACAGTGGAGCAAGAGGCAAGGACTCACAGTGAAGCCAGTCTTTACTTCTGGAAGTACTGAAAGATCAAGAGTGTTTTAACCATTCGAGGCTGAGCCACAGCAGAAGGGGTAAAATACATGTAATAAAGAGAAAGCACCACTGCAAACCTGTGCTAAGCTCCTCAGAGGCCAACCTGTTTGAGGAAAGCACTTATTCAGTTCCTCCACACATGAGGATCAAGGCAGAAATTTCTGCCCTATTCAGTACCAAGAGATGCAAAGCCCCATGCCAGGAAGCTTCATCTCTCAAGGACCATGTCAGAGCACCTCCTCGTGGCACCCTCCAGATTAACTTTGCCTACATAGATCTTGGGGATGACATCTAGATTATTTGGAGCCTGGAGAATCACTTTCGCTATCAGCAGCTCCAGTGCTGAGTGACAACCTCACCGGTGTCACTGGATAAGATTGAAAACCCTACAGAACACAGACAGGTTTGTTTAGGTGATTATGCATTCCAGGAATGAATGATGAGAAGACACACTCCTGTGGGGTTCCAGCTTCGAGCTTTCTTGCTGAGTCTCCAGTTGCAAGGCTACACATGGAACCATAGAAACATCAAATGGTTTTTGTTGGAAAGGAGCTTAAAGCTCCTCCAGCTCCAACCCCTGCCACGAGCAGGGACCCCTTCCACCGGAGCAGCTTGCTCCAAGCCCCTGTGTCCAACCTGGCCTTGAACACTGCCAGGGATGGGGCAGCCACAGCTTCTCTGGGCACCCTGTGCCAGCGCCTCAGCACCCTCCCAGGGAAGAGCTTCTGCCTAAGAGCTCATCTCAGTCTCCCCTCGGGCAGGTTAAAGCCATTCCCCTTGGCCTGGCCCTATAGGCCCTTGTCCCAAGCCCCTCTCCAGGTTTCCTGCAGCCCCTTCAGGCACTGGAGCTGCTCTCAGGTCTCCCCTTCAGGAGCCTTCTCTTCTCCAGGCTGCCCCAGCCCAGCTCTCTCAGCCTGGCTCCAGAGCAGAGCTGCTCCAGCCCTCGCAGCATCTCCATGGCCTCCTCTGGCCTCGCTCCAACAGCTCCACGCCCCTCTTGTGCTGCTGCCCCAGACTAGATCAGGGCTGCAGGTGGGGTCTCACCTCTAGAGATGCTCTGGAGCAGGTCAGAGCCATGCCCCTGCAGTGAGGGACTCCCCAGTACCTGCCACGCTCTGAGCACCAGTGTATTTTTTCACATTGGCATTTTACTGCCAGACATTCGGTGCCCAGGATCTTTTCCATGATTCACTTTGCTCTGTGACATTCACACAGGATGGCTTTACTCACTGTACAATGGGCTAAAAATAGAGAAGTTGTTTCAGAAGGTGGCTCTGTGCCATCTGCATACTAATACAGCTGTCTGGAAAGGAACGTATGCAAGGGAACAGAGGAAGCACTAGAATTATTTGCATTGCATTCCCATGCTTCACCAGCTCTCTAAAATTACAAAACCCTCCAAGGAGACCAAAATGGGCTGAACTTGAACAGGAGTCGGCAGGGCTCAGCCAGCCCCACTGTACACAAGGGCTTTCCAGCTGCAAAGAGACCAGGAGATGTCTCACTACATTTTAAGCTCACTGGATGGAAAGAGAGATGAAAACATTGTTTTTTTTTTTTACAGTGAAAGTCTGTAAAGGCCCCTCCGTGCTTTCTGCCATCTGATGCATAAAGGTGTCATTAGCTGATGCCCAGCGCTTTGTCCTCAGGGATGATGCATTCCTGGATGTCAAATGGTCAGCAGTTTCAGGTTTACTTTCCCACAAAGTTAAACTGAGGCAGGATGAGCCCACCTCTACGGGCTCCTCAAGCCTCTGGCAGCCAGGGAGCCAACAGCCCCCAGGTCCCTGCTCCAGCTAAGGCTGTTAAACAGAACTGTGGCTGCCCCATCCCTGGCGCGTCCAAGGCCAGGCTGGACACAGGGGCTTGGAGCAAGCTGCTCTCGTGGAAGGTGTCCCTGCCCATGGCTTTACGCTCCCTTCAACCCAAACCAGTGTGGGACTCTATAAACACAAGGGAAGTAGCTCAGCTTCTTAACATCTGCATTTTTAAAACATCAGCATTTCAAAATCATTCCTGAACATCTGCGTTAAGGAACTCCAGAGCAAGTTTCCAAGATGAACGTGATAAAGGCTGGTTTCTCCTCCTGCAAGTGCCAATCCCACAGGATGTTGCAGGATGCCTGGCCCCTGCAAGCCTCAAATTGACTTTAACATCTTTGGACCATGCTGCAGGGCTCTGGGAGCCAGCGGAGACCAGGATGTGTCCCCAGGGAGCAGGCAGCAGCTTCAGGCGGGTAAGAGCATCTGCAGTTAGCAGGCAGCACTGCTTTCCTAGATGATCTGAACAGCTTCAAGACGGTCATTACGAGGGTGACTGGCAGAGGCTTTAACACTGCAACGCCTTCCAGGAGCCATCCCTGGTTTGGCACCAGCCCCTGCTGGCACTGACTCCAGCAGGATGACTGCTGGCTTTGAGGTCACTCGAAGCTTAAGGGAGAAGAGGCTGGAATTGTCAGTTTAAGAGAAGAAATGAGGTTATTTCACACGGTTGGTGTTTCACATCTTCAGTGTTGCCTCTTGAGGAGCTAATTCCAATTACCCCATCGACGAAGCTCTTGCACTGATGCAAAGTTAGCAGCGAGATACAGAGACACAAATGCAATTGTTTGGGCTTAACAAGATTTAGTTTAATAGTTTATAACCTCTCAGAGCACAATCTAGCAACCAACAACCACATTACTCACTAGTTGCTTAGATTTTACACTTCATTTACATTTGGTTCAGCTTGGCACAAAGTGTAGGAAAACAGCACTTGCAAGTACTTTCTTCACTCCAGGAGGGAAAACCTTCAAGATGTGTCAAGCAAGCTCACACCATAAGAAGTATTAAAGTCCCTTGTCTGCAAATGCTGCTTAGAAAACCCACCAGCAGCTACTGAACTGATAATGACCAGAAACGGAGCTCTTCCCAGCTGCAAAGTGGCAGAGCTGAGCCCAAAACTTGCCTTTAGTACCCAGAGGGTGGCCCAAGAGAAGCTCTTCTGCTTTTAAAGCTCAAAACCAGTTCCCACCTTTGAAGTCATGCAACACAAATACTGACCTGGAAAGGTTCCCTGCACTGAGGAGAAACACTGTCCCAGAATCAGTCACAGCCTGGTTTGTGTCGGAAGGGACCTTAAAGCTCCTCCAGCTCCAACCCCTGCCACGGGCAGGGACCCCTTCCACTAGAGCAGCTTGCTCCAAGCCCCTGTGCCCAACCTGGTCTTGAATTGTCAAGAGTTTGTTTAGCATCTTAGCAACCTGCTCCCAGGTGCTCAGCCAGGTACTGGCTCCAGCTCAGTGGTTTGACCTTAAACGGCCTCAGAACAAAGAGCTGTTTCTCTAAGCACAACCATCTACTGAAGTCTAAGAAGCTGAAGCCTTAATAACCTTCCAAAGCTACTCTTACCTCTCTATCTCTAAAATGCAGAGAGAACATGTATATAAGCTTTATACAATCTCATATTTAACTCATCTTAATGATGATACATTCTGGTGTCCTCAACACCAGGAACTGTTGGACACAGGACATGGAACTGTTGGAACAAGTCCAGAGGAGGCCACGAGGATGCTCAGGGGCTGGAGCACCTCCTGTATGAAGACAGGCTGAGAAAGTTGGGGCTGTTCAGCCTGGAGAAGAGAAGCTGCATGGAGACCTCAGAGCAGCCTTGCAGTGTCTGAGGGGGGCCTATAGGGATGCTGGGGAGGGACTCTTCATTAGGGACTGTAGTGACAGGACAAAGGGTAAGGGGTTAAAACTTAAACAGGGGAAGTTTAGATTGGATCTAAGGAGGAAATTCTTTCCTGTGAGGGTGTTGAGGCACTGGAATGGGTTGCCCAGGGAGGGTGTGAATGCTCCATCCCTGGCAGTGCTCAAGGCCAGGCTGGACAGAGCCTTGGGTGACCTGGTTTAGTGTGAAGTGTCCCTGCCCATGGCGGGGGGTTGGAACTGGATGATCTTGAGGTCCTTTCCAACCCAAACTATTCTATGATTCTGTGATTTAACAGCCAGGAAGGAACAGGTCAATGCTGAGCACACAAGGCAGTAAAGGAGATGTGTTGAAGCTTTCATGACAGCTTTACATCTACAGTGACATGGCTGTGAGCTGTCAGCTCCCCTGTACCAGAGCATGTTTGCTAGTCCACATCCCAGCCAAGCAGCCAGCTTCTAGACCGGAGCTGGTCCACCATATGGTTACATGAACACTAAAGCCAGACCAACAGACAAGCTGCGGCCAAAGAGCTACAGAAGCCCCAGTTCAATCAGTTGGAAAGTGAATTGTTTATTCATTGTTAGGTTATAGCTGTTAGACAGAAGGATTTTTCCCAGAACCACTTTAAAACACACATACCCATCCCTTCTTTCAGGAAGGGGCAGATCAGTCTTGCCTTTGCTGCTCCCAGCATCATTTTGCAGGGTTACTTCTGAGTTTGGGGTTTTTGGGGGGAATTTGGGGTTTTGTTTTTTTTTTTTAGGATATCTCTTCCAGGTACTAAATGTGAATCCTAGTAAAACTGCTTCATCCACACTTCCTCTACCTATAGCTTTCCAGTTATACTGGACCGCTGCAGTTTCAAGGCCAGAAGGATGGGAAATCCATCAAATCAAACTTTCCATCAAATCCTAGCAAGAAAATGTGTCTAACAAGGACTGATGGAAGGTTGGGGCAACTACTTCAGTTCACACCAACCAACCTCAAACCAAAGAGGTTAAAGCCATTATGACGGCAAAGGCTCAGTAAATGAACACCAACTCTTCTGCAACTGGTGCCTGCTGGAGAACCTGTGCTTTAAGACTCAGACATGAACATTCCCTCTTATGGACCCCTCATATAAACTTACAGATCAATAATCTCATTTACCAAGTACTGTGGCTTGCAGTGTCAAAGCTGACCACATCAAAGTGCTTGGCAAGCACAGAGCAGAACTGCATAGCTTAAAGTCTCCAGCACTGAGAAGCCAGTAACTAGTTCCAGTGTGTGTGTGTAAATACATATATAAATACATATTTATATATATAAAAATATAAATAAAGGATTCTTGAGGCAGTAACTTTCATAAAAATGAAGAGCCTCATGATCCTGCTTTTCACCACCTCCACACAAGGCAAGACATCCAAACCAGAGCACAGCAAGGTGATGCTGCTGCTCCAGAAGGAATATCCCCACCCCTCACCTGCTCCGGCAGATCTTCATCTCTGGCACTGCCTTGCATGGCCATAACCAACCCAACCTTCTAACTGGTTAGAGAGCTCATCCAGCCAAACCTGAGCTTCTGCTGAGGAGGCTGCAGCATGCGGTTCATGGACAGGGACAGCAGAGCCAGCACAGGCACAGGCTGGGAACGTGGAGAAGCAGGAGGAAAGAAGCACCTGGAAGAGCTGGGCTGTGTTATCAACTGCAAGCTGCTGCTGTGCACTCAGCATCTTGAAAACTCTATGAAACCCAGAAGTACATGCTGTGAAAGCAAATTGCTGGGTTTAAACCAGTGTCCTTGCTGATGGTCTACATACTTCAACAGTGAATCTGCTCAGCTACTCAGTAGTGCAGCACGAACAGCTCTCCCTGCAAAGATATATACTGAAATCATGGGATCGTGGAATGGTTTGTGTTGGAAGGGAGCTTAAAGCTCATCCACTTCCAGTCCCCTGCCACATGCAAGGACACCTTCCACTAGAGCAGGCTGCTCAAAGAAATGCCTCATTGCTCACTCCCACCTTTAGGACATGCTCCTGTATCACGAGCTGTACGGAGGCACCATAGCAGCTGGCATATGATGTGAGATAAAGGCAACTGCAAGAGGAAGACATGGGGAAACCAGACCACACTCAGCACCTAATGACAGAGAGTGACTTACTTAGGTCATTGTCCATCTTGAATGCAATGTCCAGCTGCATGATGAAGAGCATGAACTGGAACCAGGGGCTCATCTCCTTGCTGGGGAGGGGAATGTGCACAGCAAACACGATGTCGTTGGCTTCAATCTGCCTGCTCACCGCCTCGTCAAAGTCCTTGAGCTTCTCACAGTGGTTGGGTCCCCAGGGCATCAGCCACTTGGTTTTGTGGTGGTTCTTCCTTACATCAATGCACTTCACTGACATGTAAGGAACAGCTGTAGTGGGGCTGGGAGCTGTAAATGGAAGAGAACCACATTTTTAGCATCTTTAGATATCTTAGTGGTTTCCCCACCAAAATAGGCAGCTCCCCCCTCAACTACTTGAAGGCAATTGAAAACAAATGCATCAAATGCTTCTGCTTCCCAGCTCCTTGGTCCTGCAGTTAAGTAATTAAGTTTATTACATCTACAGACATACTCCTGACTTTGTAGTGGGATCAAATTAGGATTAGCTGAAGCAGCTGGAATCTGCTGGGTCAGTCTCAGATACCTCAGCTACACCAAAATCATACTGGAAGTTGCTGGCATCTTCTCCTGTGCAATACACCCTTCTGCTTTGCTCACTTGAACAAATCCACATGCAAAGTTTGTGCCTGCATCACAAACCCAGACTGATGAACTCTTCCTAAACCTCGTGGTCACCACAGAGCCACACTCCTTGGGCAGGAAGCCTTTTCTCACTGCTGAATCACACCACGCTTGTTTAAGAACCCCTGGTAAAGGGAGAGCAGCACCACTTTGCATCTAACCCAGCTCAGAGCCATCACCAGCATCTGCTGGCTGCAGATGTGCTGCGGGAGCCATCTCAGCCTCAACAAAGCACGGGATAAACGGGTCACCTCCATAGTGCTCCAAAAGCCCTTGCTCCCCCATTGCTGCTCACTGTAGAGACACACTGCATGAAGGTACTGCTTCCTTTGGCTGTAAGTCAGGTGTGAATTAACAACTGTTACAGCCAGACATTTGTCTCTTTTCCTTTTAGACACAGGGTTTTGAGATACTGGGGGGAAAAGAAACTGAACAGAGGGCTTGGCTCCAAAATGCTCCCCAGACTCTGCCCTGTGACCATCACCACGGACAAGGGACATGGCTTTGTGCCCATTTTCATCGTATTAGGATGATGTGCAACATCCCAGATCAGACAATGAAAACTAGTGAGTAAACTGCACAGGCTTTACAGCAATGAGGAAATAGTCCCAAGTGTGAAGCACAAATAGGGATGAAAGCAGAAGAGAAATGCATCCCCCTCCAGCCAGATTTTCAGCATAACACCTCCAGATCTGAGAGAAAGAAAAGGCTTTCAAAACTCGAACACATTTCCAGTGTCATTCTGCCAGGCAGAGACTTCTCCTGACAGTGCTGCTGCCCTGTTCTTCCAGTATCATTTGGGAAGTACACATTTTAAGGCATCACAGAACCAGCAAACCATGAGGACAAGCAGAGCTGTCCTCATCTCCCCAGTGCACTCCGAGGGGCTTCTATGGATCAGAGAGTCCAGAAACCAGGTCAATAATTCCCCTGTTTTTATGCATCTATTCCCATTTGACAGAAGCTGGTTTGGGGTTTCTTTCCCCACAACAGCCAGTTCAACACATTCTGATGTCCAATCCATTTCACTGCTGTTAAACCACAACTGTCCTGTTTTCTGAAGTGTCACCAGGAATGTACCATTGGACATGGTGTAAGGACCTCCAGCTCCACGGTTATGGGGAGGCAGATGGAGCAGGTTAACTCTCTTTTTAATCTGTCTAAAAGGGTTTTCTTGGTGTCTGTTTTCACTAGAATTTGAAGTTACACAATGCAAGACATGAAATGGAAATGAAACACTGAACTATTCAGCCCTTTCTAAAATAAGGCTTGAAACTCAAGAATCAAAGTGCAAATTTAACTTAATAATGTAAAAATGCTCCAATGCAAGTGGTAAGCATAGAAGTGCTCCTATACTATGGAATTAAAACAGAAGTAGCACATACAATAACAGATATCCAAGTGTACAGAATAAGTGCAGCCTAAATCACAGAATCCCAGCCTGGCTTGGGTTGAAGGGACCTTAAAGCTCCTCCAGCTCCAACCCCTGCCACGGGCAGGGACCCCTTCCACTAGAGCAGCTTGCTCCAAGCCCCTGTGTCCAACCTGGCCTTGAGCACTGCCAGGGATGGGGCAGCCACAGCTCCTCTGGGCACCCTGTGCCTCAGCACCCTTAATGCTGAAGTCTCCAGAGAAACACCACCGAGATGGCCACAGAGAACAGGGAAGGAGCTGGCCAGTCCATGGGCTATTCTCACGTTATCCTCATCCTCATTCCAAGGGAGGGTTCAGGACTTCCTGTGCACGTCACAGCCCACCAAAAAGCTCCAGGAGCAAATATAACACCCTACCTCCACAATTCCACCTGTTTCAATGAGTAAAACAAACCCTAACTGCAGAGCACCCACCAGCCACCCCCAGCCCCATCCAGGGCAGAGCCTCACAGGGCTGCCGAGCCCAGCACGCATCCGCACACACTACACCCGGATGATTCAGACCTGGCTCCCTTGTAATTTGGACGCAGCATCACAACAGCAGCTCTATTGCTGTTTGGGAGCCAAGCCAGGAACCCTGCGTAGCATCTTCCCTCGTGTGTCACCTCATTGAAGATGACATCCCTGCTGCTTCCTACGGGCAGGGGAGCGATGACTCAATGTGCGAGTCGGGAGGAAGTTATTCAAAAGCAGTTTATAAACAGCATTTTTTATATAGTTTTTTTTTGACAGCAATAAGTTTCTTGTAGCTGCAAAGCAGCAGGATGCTGGCATCAAGGCTGGAAGGGATTTGCTTAAGCAGGAATAGTCCCAGGTTCATTCCTGCTCTGGTTATTAATCCATAGCTTAAGTGCAACACAGACTCGCTGCTGCATCTCAAACCCCACTGCATCCAGCAGCCCTCCAGGAACCACGGAAGCCTCATACGTGACAGCAGCCCCAAAGAGAAATCATTGACGTGCCACAAAGAAACACCAAAATAGAATAAAATAAAGCATTCAACAGACAAACTCAAGCTGCAAGCCCAGGGTTACAGAACACTTGAATTAAGGACATGCATAAATCAGCGCGACATTCCTTTATCCTGCCTCAATGCAGAGCCCGGTTACCATGGCTAAAAGTGCAGCTGTGAGTGAGTATTAGGAATATTGTGGTGAAATAAGCCAGGCATTCAGAGCTTTTTAACTCAGAGACCTTTGTGTGACTGAAAGTAGGCATTTCTGAATTCAGAGACATCGAGTTACTTCTACAGGGAAAATGAACATCTCTTGCTTTGATGCGACTCATTATAGCCATAAATACATGTTTTCATCACGGACTGATTTTAAGTACTTGGCATCCCCCCTCAAGTATCCCCTCTGCCAAAGTTACAGCTTGGAGGAACAAGAGACAATTACTCCATCTATTCCTCGTCGGGAACTGCACACCAAAGGAACGTCGGCACTTGGCTTCCATTACTTCTTTGGCTCCAGTCCCATTAAATTCAAGTGAGTGTTGAACCAAGTGGAAAAAACTGCTTTGGGAAACTGCAGCCAAGTCAACTAACAGCATTACAAAGTGCTATGGCAAACAAAGCCAGCACCGAGGGACCTCGGTGAGCACGTGGTGCCGGGCAGGCTGCTTTCAGCCACTCTGCCTGTGGGGCTGGGAGATGCCTCAGCTTTCTATATTAAATGATATCTGTCAGCCTGTAAATAATTCAATAGCCATTTGTGCATAATCCAGTGGAGAAGTCCCAGCCCACGTTCCAGCCTGCTCGCTGCGATGGGAAGCGCTGCAGTAATGCAGGTAGCACTTGGAGGGGTTCAGAGCTTTGGTCAGGAAGGTTTGGCAGAAGCCCATTGGGAACGTGGGCCCAAGAGCCCCCAGGAAGCATCCCCAGCAACCCCTTACACCAAGGGGTTCATCCCCTGTGGTGTTGGACACCAGAAGCCATAGGCTTGAGGCTGCCGGAGACACAAACACTGTCCAAGGATGCTTCCAGCCTCCCTGTGCTTAAGGGACAAACTTCCCACAGAGCAGTTCAGAGGCAGGGTGATTCACAGCAAACACTTTCAGAGCAGCAGCAGGATCTCCACGGAGCCATGTGCCCGTGCCAGAGGGAAGCAGACAGGAGGGGACGGGCACCACCAGAGCTCCCATCAGCTCCGATGGGACAAACCTGCATTAAATCTTCCTTAAAACCCCAGGCAGGCACAGAGAGGAAAACAAAACCACTGGAGCCTGAGCAGGCTCTTTCGCAGCTCACTGGCTTTCATTCCAGTTTGGGGAGTGAATTCAGTTTAACCTCTTTGAAGTTTGTTTGCATACACGATATAAACACATTTATCTTTAAAGCTCTGCAGTTAAAGCCATTCCCCTTGGCCTGTCCCTACATCCCTTGTCCCAAGCCCCTCTCCAGCTTTCCTGCAGCCCCTTCAGGCACTGGAGCTGCTCTCAGGTCTCCCCTTCAGGAGCCTTCTCTTCTCCAGGCTGCCCCAGCCCAGCTCTCTCAGCCTGGCTCCAGAGCAGAGCTGCTCCAGCCCTCGCAGCATCTCCATGGCCTCCTCTGGCCTCGCTCCAGCAGCTCCACAAGCACAGGGGGTCCCAGCAGATGCTGCTGTTCCCTACCAAGGAAACACAGCTCCTTGCAATGGCTCTAGGCAGTGAGCCCTGGAGAACCAGGTGCTTTCAGCAGCATGGCCACCACTTCCCATGGACCCCCAAGGCAATTTCAGCTGGGTTTCACAGAAGACTCACTGGAGGTTACATGCAAGAGTTGCTTCAGTCTATCTCTTTTCATCTTCAAAGTGCCATAGAGCCAATGGTACGCTGGCTCAAGCATACGGATTTTCATAGAATCATAGAATGTTTTGGGTTGGAAAGGGGCTTAAGATCATATTTCTGATCCCCAAGAAACAGCAGCAGTTGGGAGATGTTTCCGGAGGGGGTGGGTGACCAAAATTCAATTGCTTTTGTTTTTCAGTGATCCAAAGCTACTCAGTCCTGTGTTGAGCTGTTTGCAGTGTTTTACCCAAAGAGAACAGTGTCATAGAATGACTCCGAGTAAGAGGATCTGCAGGAGACATCTCAGCATACTTTAGATGTGTATCTCCATACTTTATATCTCCATACTGACTGGAGAGGTCAACGATCTTCAGACCTACTGCAGCAAAAGATGCCCCAATTTGGTTTCTCAGCACTGGCGACCATCCTCATTGCCAAGAGAGGATT